AGGGAAGGGAAGGGAAGGGAAGGGAAGGGAAGGGAAGGGAAGGGAAGGGAAGGGAAGGGAAGGACATTGGTTCAGGAGACTACAGATCTAGCTACAGGTGAGTAAAGAACACAGTACCTTTGGCAAACTGTTAATCCCTTAACCTTGGACAATGTTACAACATACATTTTCCTACTCATTAAGACCACTCTAATTCTGCTGCTAAAATGAAATGAAACAAGAAGTTTTTATCCTGTGCTGAAATGAGAAATTACAGTGTCACTTATAATTTTAGTTTTATAACTTCCCTGTGTTAGAATGAAAACAGCATAGGGATACAATACCAAGATAAATTATTCAGCTTGTCCTTTGCCATTAAAGCCTTAGTGATGTTACCTGTTAAATACAAAATTTGAGTAGACAGATAGATTGCTTCTGTGATTCCTACACATACTAAAGCACACCATGGTCTTCAGAACAAAATGAAACCTGAGCAGATAGGATAAAACTCATTTATAAATAGCCAAAAAAATTTCAGAAATGATTAATTCTTTTATTACTGTGGACATAAATGACGGTCAATGGTGATTTGCTTAGACTGTGGGGAATTTAACACAGCTATAAAAAGAGAGCTGTTCAAATATAGATGATGATGATGATAATAATAATAACAATAATAATAATAATGCTACAACAAAGAGAGCATGTTAAAGTGCCAAAAGAAAAAAAAATATCAGAGCATAATTTAGAAGAGCATAATTTATCATGAGGCTGTGCGTGTGCATACTGGAAAAAAAGGGAAAAAAGCTCAAAAAAAATCCAAATCTAGAGAAGCCTCATCCTAATCACTGAAAAATAATTAATATATAATTTGGTTTTAATGTTTGACATTTTTATATTGTATTGCTTCCACTATATGACAGTAATATTCTCCTCAGATAATAACAATTCTAGCTCCTGCTCATGTCTTAGAAAGAAGTGATTTCTTACTGAAGAATTTCTGCTTGGGATAGAGGAGTAGGGACAACACAAACCAAACTGATCAAACAGTGAATAGACAAAAATTATTCTGCCTCATCCTTTTTATTTTTATTTTTTTTTATTGAGAAGGCTGAAAGAATGATCCCTGGTTTATGCAAATTGCCACAGGTCTACTGAAATTGAAATTACCTTTTTCTGCCCTCTCAGAAATTTTTCTTCAATTTAAGTTTCTCTCCCCCAGAGTTATTTTTCATATCAATAGACAAAGAGAAGGAAGGTATACCATGAATGCTGTTTCTTAATTTCTCTCCAGTTAGAGATCAAAAGCTCTTGCTGATTCTTTTTTTGATGTGTATAAGCTACTGAAAATAGTGACTCAGAATAATGCCTGGAAATTATTCTTAAATAATTTTTCAAATGGCTTCAATTTTCATATGTTGCATATCCATAATATATTGTCCCTATATTTCTTTGTGCTAAAGGCAGGATTTTATGATTGACATATTATGTCACTCTAGAAGAGTACTGGAAGGGAAGTCACACCAATGTTCTTTCTAACCTATTAAATAATCATAAAGGAGATTTTTCTCTTTCTAGTAGTCCTCATGGATGATAGGCAAGCCCGTCCCTGTGCCTTATTCTTCCAGTCCTTATTCTTTAATCCCTTGAAACTCTCAAAAGGCTGTTTGCACGGCACACATCTCCTTTTGTCGTGTGCCAGGAGCGACTGCTGGCAGCTGCTCTGAAGGCCACTGATGGAACCTGCACCATTCCCAGAGCAAAGCTGTGCTGGATGTGAGGGGCACTGTGCCAAGCCAGCCCATGTTTGTACAGGCATCACTGCTCCTGGGCCCAGTGGGAACCTCAAGGGCTGCCTAAGGATTTAAAGCAGAAAAGCAGGGGATGGAAAAGGGCTGTTTTTACACAGACTCGTCTCTTCTAGCAAAGGCAGTTTCTGATGTGTAAAGAAGGGGATATTTTCCAAAGGGATCAACTACAACTGTTACAGGAACTTATATAAGCTTTCCTGAAAATGTTAAATTCAATTTGCCTAGTGAATTCTATGAATCTGTGTAAGTCCAGGAAAATAGAATAAAGAAGTAAAAATATATATTATTTTATATATTTTCTTCTTTAAATTTAGAAGCCAATATCAGATTTTTTTTCACAGCAATAGAGAAGTTTTCAAGTCTGCAAGATGGGCTGGAATATTTAAAGTCTTACCTGAATGGTTTAAAGCACTAATTTAACACAAACTCCAATTCTCCTGATCCTCACAACTGGTCCATGTCATAATTTTAGGTACTATTCCTCCTGCATCTTTGAATAAATAAATGCTTGCTAACACATATATGTAAAAGACTTACAGTTAGAATTTAATAAAATATCAAAAGCTACACTTGGAGTTTTTAAAAACTTTACTTTTATCTTCCATTTTCACTTAAATATAACTTTTAATACCTGCCTGCAATACCTCTTTTTTCCTATTTTATTTTTGATATTATAAAGTTTTACACAGCCACTCTATGGTTTTATACTGCAAAGGAAGTGTACCTTTCTTCCTACACAGTCAGTGCCTGTCAGAAGCCATTTAATCTTTTCAATCATCTATGCTACTCATTTAGTAAGATTAATTTCTAGTAATTGTTGCATCCTGCAATCAAATAGTAAAGAAGATTTCAATATATGTGTTCAAACCAAACCACTCTGTTTTTCTTTCTCCGTTTCAGCAGAAATACAAACAAGATTATCTATCTATCTGTCTGTCTGTCTATCTATCTATCTATCTATCTATCTATCTATCTATCTATCTTTCTATCTAATCAGTCAGTAGCTATGTTTATAGAACAAGCTGTTCTTTCTTATTTACTGGGGTGGGAGAAATGATTGCTTCCTGAAGACTGGCAATGTTATTCCAGTGTTAGTCTTGTGTAAATGTCAGAATACCTTCCTGGGAAGTGAGGTGTCTGAGAAAATCAGAAAGCACTACAAACCCATTTTTTTTTTCTTTTCAAAGTCAATAGGTAGAGCCAAGTGAAGAGCCGTAGTGTTCTGCAGTGCAAAGCTTCTACACATGTTTAAGCAACTCACATCTTGACATATTGTGCTGGGAAAAGGTCTACGTGACCAGAAACACCATGTAAAAATAGGTTGGTCCTACATGAGATTTTTAATTCTCACTCACCTCATGAATGTATTGCTTTCCCCTAATTTTAAAATGATTTAAAATGGAACTGCATAAAAAGTACAAATATAACAATACTACACAATTGCAATTAGCAATTATTGAACAGCCAATGAGATATAACAATTTTTTCATGCATACTGTAAAAAGGGAAAACTTCATAAACACAGTCCACAGTAATGGAAGGCTACCATCTAATGGATAAATATAACATCTGACTCTTTTGATTTTTGTTTGTTTCCTAAACATCTGTACATACAGACAGGAATGGCAGAGGGAAGGAAGAGGGAAAGAACATTTAAAATTCATAGAATGATAGAAATGTACTCAAGTTTTTCTTAATTCCACTTATGCTGGGATCCATTTACACTGGGACAACTAATAATGCTCCACTAAGGCTGGGTGTAGAACAGAAACAAAACCAAGAATTTATAATTCACAGTTTTGAATTCATGGTAAGCAAAGGGCAAAAATAAGCCTTTGGGTGCTAGCTTACCACCATAAAATATAAAAGCAAATTTATATCAAGCATGGAAGAAGTATATGCTCTGCATATAATTATGAGTTTGTAAAATGTTTAATGTCAGAGTGGAATAGCTTCGTATTCTTCCATTACAAAGTTGCATACTATAGTATTACAGTATCTATTCAGATATGGTAGTAATTAATTTTAAAAACAATTCAATATGAAAGAACATAGTACAAGACAATTCAGATACTTCTCAGTACTTATTATATCAGAAGAGAAATTAATTTAGTGTTACTGAATATCTGAAATGGTTTTTCACAATTTCACATTTTACAGTGTAACTTTAAAGTTGTAATATGTTCCATTTGGTTCTTAAAAGCTCTCAGTCACATCAATTAAAGTAGTAAATATTTACACTGACAAAATGTGACGGAAAATTCTTTTATTGAATGATAGCACTTAAAGTTCAGCTTCCTTTGTGTATAAATTATTTTTATGCTTTATTTTCATAGTCCGTATAAAAATAAAAGTGAAGATAATTTTGTGAGAATAAAGACAGATTAAATTTAGAAGTACTATTGACAAAATAGGAGAGTTTTCATGTGTGTTAGAATTTTAGAGCTATTGATATAGCTAAATTGTAGCATTATAAAAATAATTTAATTTGATGATTTACTTAGTGATATATTTGTGGTATGATTATGATATACAGTTTAAATAGACAAAAAGCTTTTCAGTACTAGTGCATAAAG